ATGGAACAATAACACTTCACTTTACTAAAATTTGGTTTGTGGCAAACTGAATTGGAATGTACTCTTCCGCTGGGGACTGTCAGTGGCTCAGGACCATTTTCTACGGTGTTGTAGCCTTTGAAGTAGAGACAGTCCCCAGTTGACAATAGCAGATGACAGATAATAATCTATGAGCATGAGCTTCCCTGCAGAAGGATAAAAATACTGATCGGAGATTTAAGGGCATATTGTCATATATCCTTCTATTTTGAAAATGATACATTTAGAAAAGTATATTCAATACTATAAAATAAGCCACAGCAAACCATTGCCCCTTACATCACCTCCATCTCCTCCTCCTTCTCTTTTAAAGGTCTTTTTAACATGCTGACCTTTAGGGTGAGATATGTTTAACATATTACTTTTTTAGCATTTACTTTTTCCTCTGTTTATTTGTTAGCAAAGTCCCTTTAAGTCTATTAATGATATACCTGAGGTGGATTCTATAGTAGGGGAACTAATCATTTCAAAGTTTAAAATGACCTATTTTGCATATGGACCGCCACGCGAAATGGCCTAAGAGTGCTCACCAATTTTCCTTTACATTATTTTCTAATCAGGTGACTGTTCATCTCATCTGTAGGTAAATATCAGGTAAGGCAAAGAGAAAACAAGCAACCCACCCCCTTGTACAACAGCATTGTAAGGAACAACCTCCTTTTTTTAAAAAAAAAAATTGCTTATTAAAATGTTCCCCAAACCCCCAAACCTTTTTTTCTTAAAGAAGAGCTTTTGAAAATACAATTAATAGGAAATAAAATTACCTGATGTCCTCTTTTGAAACATGTGAAGCTGTGGATCTCTGTGCATGACATCTTCCTAGTGATTTGTGGTTACGGGTGTGAGCCTTGTAGCTACGCTTGGCCGCAGATGTGTAAGGGCAGTGATCTGACCTTAACTCAGTAGAGGAGCTTGGAGAAGGTCCCTTCAAAAGGATTTGTCAGGGTGTTTGGAAGTCTCTTGTGGGCCGGTGCTGATGGCTGGGACTAGGATGTGTGTGTCAGGAGAAAGTAAAAGTAGAACCCAGTCATTTTTATGTCTGGCTCTGTCAACTAGAGTCTACTCTTTGGAGAAACGGGAGCTGGTGAGTAAGAGAGCCCAGGAAAACTCCCAAAGCACCAAGAAAAATTCTCTGGACAAGTTTTTCCTAATAGGAGTTCTCTAAGCAGGGGAAAACCCATAGATCACATCATGAGGCGCCAAGGAATTTGTGCCATCCTCCTATTGGCTATTTCTCCTTCTCAAATTGTGTGAAAAAAGCTTTAGGATTCTTCTCTGACTCCAAATTTTACAACTTCAACTCATGGAGAAATTATCCTGATTCTGTGATTAGACCAATCCATGAGAGGGAAGGAGGGAGGGAGGGAGGGAAGTAGAGAGAGAGAGAGAGAGAGAGAAATGGAAGAAGGAAGGAAGGAAGGAACCTTCTTCAGAACCATTATGTGGATGAGTGGATGAATATTATCACCATCCTCCAGGTTGAACCAACTGGATCAAAAGGATGTAGGGACCTTCCAGTTACTCCAGGGCTGAGGTTGGACTGGACTACATACAAATTTTCAGTAAGGAATCTTTATTGTAATTAACCATGATAACAATGTCCACTCCTCAATATTTAAAATGAATTTCATTTTAAGAAAAATCAACTCACATGGGTCTAATTGAGAAAGAACTACATTACTAGCTTAAAAATTAGCTTTCTGAAAGCCAGACTTGCTCATATGTCTACATATGGGATGTATTTTCACCCAATCAGGAAATACTTCAAAGTAACATTGATGGGTTCTTGTAAGTTTCATATTATCCTTTGTAGAACTCCAGTGATGGGCCAGATTTTCAAGGATTTATTTCAATATCATTTTTTTTGAACCTCTAATCATTTTAATTCACATAAATGAATAACAATGATTCCGATTTTTAAAATTTCCTTTGGCAGATGAACTGAATTCTTTCTGCCTTATATATAAATGCAGACAGGCACTGATATTAGACCACCACTCTGCTTAAGGAACTTTCAGTGGTTTAATAAACCTGCACACACACTAGAGGCCTACAAGGCTCAGGAGTGAAATTCCAACCTGGGGATAAAAGGCACTTTCATATCCAAAACCACGCGGCTGACTCCACCTCAGTGAGACCTGGGGTTTGACATCTTTTCCAGACCTGATGACAGACGTGCACTGAGAGATTTACACTCCATTACGCTCCCTGGCTTGTCCCCAGTGTGATCAATGTCATGCACTAATAGATGGCTGACCGGGGTGAAGAAGGCCATTTGTGACCTTGATTCAGCTCATACGGACTTCTGCCAGACAGTGACAAGTAGGGTTCCGATTCTTTCAACATAGTTTATTACTGAAGTATTAGGCTGCACCATTTGAACTTGATATTTCTGTAGGTCAAAACAGTCAAATATCAAGTTTTCCTTAGGAACCAACCTAATACCAAAAGAATTTCTTTTAAGGGTTGTTAGGTCATGTTATTATAGAATGGACTTGGTAACAGCCGTCCATAGTTATTCCTAACATTTGTTGCTGTTGTTTCTTACTGGATATTTGCCTCTTTAAATTCTTTAAAAGTGATTTTTATGCTTCTTTTCTTTGTTTCTTTTTTTGGGGGGGTGGGAACAGAGTCTCACTATGTTGCCCTTGGTAGAGTGCTGTGGCATCACAGCTCACAGCAACCTCATACTCTTGGGCTTTAGTGATTCTCTTGCCTCAGCCTCCTGAGTAGGGGGGACTACAGGCATCTGCCACAACGCCTGGCTATATTTTTTGTTGCCGTTGTCATTGTTGTTTTAGCGGGCTGGGGCCAGGTTCGAACCCACCAGTTCCAGTGTATGTGGCCGGTGCTCTAGCACCGGTGCCAAGCCGTCTTTGTTTCTTAATTACTATGAATAAATCATCAAGAAAAATCCAATATGCTTCTTATATATCAGTAACACATTAAACATTACACAATTAAACCTAAATCTTTTTTCAATAAGAATTTTAAGAAAGGAAAAGAAATATTTTCATGCCAAATGATCTTATGACAACAAGCAAAATTGTTTCAGCCAGATGACTGCTGGTGCTTCACTGAATGGTTTACACTATTTCAGAAATATTAACAACATTTCCCCTGCAACCAGCTTGAGTCCTTTCTCAGTAGATGCATTAACTGTGAGTCACATAAATCTTCTATCCCTCACACATATCTCTATGCAAAGAATTGCCCAGGAAATTACAAAAGTATAAATGAATTCCAAAACGTCAACTTAAAAAAATACATACTCAGTTTTTAAGCCATCTCTGGTATGAAACATCAATATCCAAAGAAAATACTCTACTTTTTCTTAAAGTAAAGAGAATGGATTTATTCAATATTTTGGGAAAAAGCCCAAATCACCTCATTAACTCTGACACTACAGACGCTCCTCAACTTACAATGGGGTCACGTTCTGATAAATCCATTGTAAGTTGAAAACATATGTTAAAAATGCATTTAATGCACTTAACCTGCCCAACAGCTCATCTGAGTCTAGCCTGCTTTAAATGTCCTGAGAACACTTACATTAGCCTCTAGTTGGGAGAAATCACCTAATACACAGTCTATTTTATAATAAATTTATTATAGAGAATTTTGAATCAAAATTCAAACTTCAAAGTATGATTTCCACCCAACATGTATCACTTTTACACCTTTGTGAGGTCAAAAAATCATGTCATGCCATCATAAATCAGAGACATTATGTAATTTTAACACCCCCAAATAATTTAAGGCAATAAGGAATAGCATGTGTTTTGACAATTAAATGCTCAAAGTAACTCTGCAGGACTCACCCCACACTTCTACAAGATTAAAACTCACTGTATAGCAGATGATGCTTGAAGTCAAACTTTAAAAAAAAACCTACTATTTTAACTTTATCTTTGCTATAGCTTTCCTCTGTTAGACCAAGACAGACTTAACCTCTCTGACCCCAAATTTCTCACCTTGTACATGAGCTGCACAGATGATGGGCAAAGTGGGCCAATGTAAAGTACTTACTTAGAGCTTTACTGATTTTAGCTATTTCCTAGCCCTGTTGTCATTATCTAAAACTCATATTTAAATATAAACAATGTAACTTTTATTGTCGCCACTTTATAAAGAGTTTTAGGCAAGCTCATCAAGTTAATGTAAACACCTTTGAGAGTGTCAGGTTCTACACAGACACGCTAAGTAAGAATATGTTACTAGCAAATGCTTCCCTCACCTTTGTCTCTGTCAGCTTGTCAATGCTCCTCTGCTCTGATGCGAAGCAGGAGAAGGGATAGAAAGTAGAGTGTGGAAATCAAGACCCTCCTGCCTCTAAACCTGATAGGCAGTGGGTGGGTGGGTGACTGTGAATTGATTCACTACCCTTTGACGATGTTTCTTGCTGGAGGCCAAGAAAATTTTTTCAATGAGCACTGTAACCCATGAGGGATGATGTGTCCTACCAGAATGCCAGGACCATCATATAAATCTCAAGGGATATACCTGGCTACTATCTAAAAACAGTTGTAGGAAAGATCTCATGAGCCTGACAGTATCTTTGAGCCATCCAAACAGTTCAATCAACTACCAGAAAAGTGAACCTGCCCCTACTACCCATTACCTTTCCTGGGGCTAGGAAGAATGAGGACACAAAATGTCACGGAATGCCAGGAAAAAATTAGTATCAAGACAAAGGCTTTTAAAAATTAAAATTATTACTAAAAAATCTAGGATAAATAAAATATCAAAACTGTAATTAGGATTGATATTACTAATAATTCCTTTTGCCTCAGGCTCCAGTATGGCTCAGTAAGACGTTGTTGTAACTGATCTGTCATTATTTAATACTTTACTATGATTTTTTTGGTGATATCTAAGGCCTTGTGCTGCTCTTGACTTTTTTTTTTTTTTTTGCAGTGACTTTTGAAATTTCTCAGGGTTGGGAAGTTCAAGGTACTTACCTTCAATGGTACACTGATCAGGGACTGGAATCTTCTTTCCGATTTCCGTGGCGTACGCCTTCACTTTACTGAGGTTTTCTTTTAAGTGCAGGTAGAGCTTATCTTGGTATTCTGCAGGACTTGCAGGTGACACTGGAGTTTCTTCTCGGAAGTTTTCTTTAACAGCTTCTGGCAAATTCTCTGATTCTATATGTGAAATATTTGGGTGTGACACTGAAGAATTTCCCAGCTGTGGTCTGTCAGTGTCTGTCTTAAAGGGCAACTTGTTACTACTTCTTTGTCTAAGTGGATCCATTTCTGAAAGAGAGATGCTGGCTGGTACCTCCCCGCTCTCTCCATCTTCCCCGTCATCTGAACTCACACCCTTGGAGAGCACGGTGTGCAAAGCCAAACTTTTGGACCTAGAGTACAAACAAAGGGAAAGTTAGAGAAGTTACCATTCACGGACAAGGAAAAGAAATAACAACACCACTGGGATACAGAGTTACTTCTGCTGGAGTGTGAAACTGTTAACAGGCTTGATAAAACATAGAGGACCAATGAATTAGGTAATAAACCAAACGGGTCATCTCCCAAAACAAAGATGTAAAAATCAAGTGCATGGCCAACTGGCTGGAAAATGGCAGACCTAGCCTTTTTCTCCTTTTGCTTCTGATTTTCATCAGAAATCAGGAGAAGCCATTCTTTCTATTAGCAAATCCATATTTTAAAAAGTATTTAAAAAAAGTAAGGCATTGGTTGCTTTTCCATTTGCAGTCCCAATTTAAAATAGTGAGCTTGTTTGGATAATGAGAATATTGTGGCTAATCTTTCATTCCTGAAAGGACAGAACTTTGGGTGGCTGTAGGTAAAAGCCCTTCGTAACACCGGGATAACAAAACCTATAAACGAACACCAAGTGTGTACTTTAAAGAAATAACCAAACCAGGCGTATACCTGTCAAATCTAATGTTTTTTCTTTCTTCCTTAGAAACTTGGCCCAAACTATATCTTCTAACAGAGCCAGGGATATTGCTGTCAGCGTTTATTTTGTCTTCAAAAGCCTGGATTTTAACTTGGAGCTTTTCGTGGTCTTCTTTTTCAGCCACCACGAGCTTGGTTTCTTCCATTCTCTCAGGAAATTCAACTTCAGCACTGATTTTTCTCCTACAGGAATAGAAATCATTGTATTAGGCGCTGGTCATACATACCCTTCAGAGGAGTATTATTCTCTGAATAATTAACTGCCCCTTATTCTGAACTGAAAACTTTGCCTAGTAACTTTTATTTTCATTAGTCACTTAACAAATATGTATCGAATATTTACTGTGGGTATGGGTCTTTGAAACTGCTTCTATATTTTTTTTTTCCCAGAAATTTAGAAACTATAGTGTTTATGTCAACTTTGTGTTAAAAATACCTTTTAATGGCTGAGTGCAGTGGCTCGCATCTATAATCCTAGCACTCTGGGAGGCCAAGGCAGGTGGATTGCCTGAGCTCAGGAGTTCAAGACCAGCCTGAGCAAGAGCAAGACCCTATCTTTCTTAAAAAAAAAAAAAATAGCTGAGTTTTGTGGTGGGTGCCTATAGTCCCAGGGGCTGAGGCAAGAGGATCTCTTGAGCCCAAGAGTTTGAGGTTGCTGTGAGATATGACACCATGGTACTCCACCCAGGGTGACAAAGTGAGACTCTGTCTCAAAAAAAAAAAAATTAATAATAAAAAATACCTTTTATGTGTTCAAAGAATAAAAAGCAGTTTTAATGGTCATCTACCATATTTTTATGTAGAACCTCTCCAAAAATTATGGTTTCCACATAAAACTCATACCAGACATTTTCTAGAAAATTTACATGTGCCGATACATTCGTACTAAGATTGATAGAACAAAAACATGTCATATAGACTGTGTAAACTCATGGTTTTGCTAATTTTTTTTTTTTTTTTTGAGACAGAGCCTCAAGCTGTCCCCCTGGGTAGAGTGCTGTGGCATCACAGCTCATAGCAACCTCCAACTCCTGGGCTCAAGCGAGTCTCCTGCCTCTGCCTCCAAAGTAGCTGGGACCACAGGCACCCGCCACAACACCTGGCTACTTTTTTTTTGTTGCAGCCATCATTGTTGTTTGTCAGGCCTGGCCTGGATTCGAACCCACCACCTTAGGTGTATGTAGCTGGTGCCTTAGCCACTTGAGCCACAGGCACTGAGCCAGTTTTGCTAATTTTATAGAAATTGGTACAACGTTCACCTTCAAAGCAAGAAATAATCTTTCTAAATTTTAAGATACTGGATGAAGGAGGTTTTCTGCAAATGACATCAATAATTCCAAATATCTTTTATAGCAGAGTTCATAAGCTACTCCATGGGCCATAAAAATTACCTCTTTTAAGGCAGAGGCCATACATGCATAATTTTGGAACTTTTCTGAGGACTAACGGTGCTGTGGCTGTAGCTAAGAGACTGCAGATGAGCCGCAGAAATATTTCTCTGACGCTCACCGAGTGTACAGAAAAGTAGTCTGCACCTGAGCCCAGTCTGTGTCTTCTATGCTAGCTGTCCTAGAACTATCGATTATAAAATGTGGTGTTAGAATCAATTCTTTCCTTATAAAAACAAGAGTAAAATGAACTGTTTTTATTCACTACACTCCTGACATCAAATGTCCAGTTTTATTTTCCCCTCACATCAACTAATCCTCCAACTCTTTGGATACCAAATGGGTGTCCTACAATTCAATTCAGTCTTGGCAGTCACTGCCCAGAATTAGTTTCAGACTCCATAGACTGTGCCCAATTCAGATGCTGAAAGCTAAGGTGCCCAGCTTACTTATACATGTGTTCAATGTGGTAATAAAGTTATGAGACTCTCACTTGCATTCAGTAGTTCCCTAGAACAACTCACAGGATTCAGGAAAACTCTTCAGCTCATTATTGCTGGTTTATTATAAAGGCTATAACTCAGAAAAGCCTGAGAAAATACACATAGGCAAGGTATAGGGGAAGGGACACAAAGCTTCTGTACCCTCTTGGGGTACGCCACTCGCCCAGAAACTCCCCCACATCCCATCTTTTGCAGGTTTTCATGGAAGTCTCATTTATGCAGGCAAGATTGATTAAATCATAGCCATGGATGCTTAACTCAGCCTTTAGCCCTTCTCCCCTTCTCAGAGGCTGGGGGTAAGGGGGTTAGGGGATAAGGTAAGTCTGAAATTAGCAACCCTGTAATAAAGCCTTGGTCTTTCCAGCCAACAGAGTCTATCCTGAAGCAATGAGCTGGCGCCCAGCCACTAGGCATCTTGTTAGCTACAAAGACACTCATCACTCAGCAGATTCCAAAGGTTCAGGGGTTGGGTGCCAGGAATGGGGGACAGAGGTAAAATATTTATTTATCTTTTCATTATTCCACAGGGTAATTCCTAGAAATACATTCACCAAGATGGTTTAATGATTCTGTTGCTTTGTCTGTGTGTATTTATTTTTCTTAGATGTTGAGGAAAGGGCCCCACACTTACAGAAAAATCCTACCTTTTTCAAACACATGACTGGAAGGGCCAAAGGGAACTGGAATAATACCAGGGTGAGAGTGAGAGAAAACCACATTTTTTCAAAAGAAAACATCACTCTTTATCAGGGAGACCCAATGCAGAAGGGCTGGTGATCACTTTTTTTCAGTTACATTCTACCCATCCTGACACGGTGGGTATTGGTGAAGGTGAAGGGGCAAGGTTGGATACTGAAGTTTTTCTGCCCAGTGCAGAGAGCAGTGCTGGCCTTGAGGGAGGGTTTGTGGTTACAGAATGATAACTGGTCAGAACCCCCCTGTAAGTCCAGCCCAGGGACAGCTCTGCTGGATGGTTCAAAGTGGGAAGGAGACTTGATATCTATTGGGTAATAAGGAAATAGTTTATTGCCTAATAAACTGCTGCTTACTCATGTTTAAAATTAAAACTAAAAAAAGTTTACTCACATAATTCATATAGATTTTCTATGGCTTTACATAAGGTTCATTTATCTACCTAATACTATGCTTGAATGAAACACCAAGTCCATTACAAGAACTAGGACATGGGAATAAAGGCTAATCCTGAAAATGATTTTTTTCTGACATACATGTGATACTGGCTACACATAAATAGATGGAGGGTTTTGACATTTTTTAGCCAGAAGATTCTAGATGTTCACTGCTATTACAAATGAAACCAAGATAATGCTGTCACTGGATGGTATTTTACAAACCACGATTTCCAAGGTTGATTTTAAAAGATCCAATAAAACGTTCTTAACATAAGAAATTTGGTGGAGTATTGTTCTCTAACCATGACAGTCCTTGTACTGTCACCAGACTAAAGTATTTCTCTGGTTCCCTGGACCCTAATCACATTTCAGAAATAGAAGATAACCTGTTTTGCCACTTGCATTTTATGGCTGTGGAAAAAGACGACTGTACTTTTACAATTTCTATAGCTGGGATCATTACAACTTAAGAAGTTCATAAAGCGAAAAGCATAGTCTAAGATGCATGTCTAAGATATTGAGCATTACACAATTTTAAAAATCTTCATTTCATTTTATTTATTATTTATTTTATTATTACTTTTTTTGCAGTTTTTTGGGCTGGGGCCGGGTTTGAACCTGCCACCTCCAGTATATGGGGCTGGCACTCTACTCCTTTGAGCCACAGGCACTGCCCCTTTGTTTTGTTTGTTTTGAGACAGAGCCTCAAGCTGTCACCCTGGGTAGAGCGCTGGGGAGTCACAGCTCACAGCAACCTCCAACTCCTGGGCTCAAACGACTCTTCTGCCTCAGCCTCCCAAGTAGCTGGGACCACAGGTGCCGGCCACAATGCCTGGCTATTTTTTGGTTGCAGTTTTCATTATTGTTTGGAGGGCCCAGGCTGGATTCGAACCTGCCAGCTCAGGTGTATGTGGCTGGTGCCCTAGCCCCTTAAGCCACAAGTGCCGGGCCTATTTCATTTTATTTTTTAAGGATAGGACCCTACTGTCTTGTCCAAGATGGACTTGAATTTCTTAGCTCAAGAGATTTCTCACATCTCAGCCTTCTGTGGAGTTGGGGCTATAGGCAAAAGCCAATGTGCTCAGCTGTATAAATTTTAAATCTCAAAACACATGAATTGTTAGAGGAACAATTTCTCACAAATATACTATTTTTTCCCTTACTGTACAAAACTCTGGGTTATAACAAAAGTAGTAATAGTCACATTTTCTTCTAAAAACTTCAAATTTCATATGTTTGTAGGATAGAGATATAGTTTTATTAAATCCATTTCTGATTTTAAAAACTTTTTTACTTATGGAGATCTTTCATTGTTATACTCTTTATATCAGTTTCAGCTTGGTATAGCCTTTATATCAGTTTCAACATCTACAAAACAGGGAAAATAACTGTATATAACTCAGGGATTGTTGGAAAGATTAAATGACAGAATCAGTGTGAATCACATTCCTAGCACTTAACAGGCAGATGACCGATGCCAGATTTTCTTACTATGAGGCTTTAGGAGGGGGGTGGTCACTCAGCCCCCTTCCCTTGCCTGTGTCTGCAGTGACTGAATGAGGCTGAGCTGGAGTAGCTGGGGGCAGCCTTCCTGCACTGTCGGGTTGTTTGACAGCGCCCTCCGGAGGAGACTTTGAGCATGAGAGAAGTTACAGAGTGATCCCTACATAGCCACTGACCCCGGGGAGGGGCAGGGGTGATGCCTCTCCCAGTGATTTTCAACCTGTGTGCTGTGGCTCACTGGTGTGCTGTGAGAGGATCTTAGGTGTGCCATGGAAATTTTTAAAGACCATTAATCAAATTATTTTCCAAAAACGTTCAAAGCATAAGTATATTCTTTTTTTTTTTTTTTTTACTTTTTGTTTGATCAATATAATTTAAGTGTCACAGTAATTTAACTATGGGTTCAAGTGTGCCGTGAGATAAAAAAGGTTGAAAAAAACTGCTCTAGGCTAAAAGGTCAGTAAAATATAGGACACTCAGCCAATTCTTAATTTCAGACCAATTATAGATATTTAGCGTAGGTATGTCCCTAGTGGGACATGCTAAATATGCCTTTTACAATACTAAAATTATTATACTTGAATACAGAAAATACTAAGAAATTATTTGTTCTTTATCTGAAATTCAATGGAGAGTCTTGTATTTTTATTTGTTAA